GATAATCTCATAAGTCTGTATAAAGTACCAAAATCGCATGGCACAAAAATATATCTGATGATACATCCAATCATATACCGTCATTTGTGGGCCCGATGTGAGGGCCATGCCCGAACCTGGCACGTAGTGCCTTAGCTTTCTGGTTAATTCCTCGATGAGAGCCAGGTTTGAGGCACGTAGTGCCGAAATAATATTCGTATCCTGGCTTTGTGCAATGTATTCGAATACCGATTAAGAATAAGGCACGTAGTGCCAAATTGTTAGCAGTTGTTAGCATAATTTATTCGAATATTGCTCGATGATGAGGCACATAGTGCCGAATTGTTAACATATCTGATAATACACCAAAGCATCCGATAATGAGGCACGTAGTGCCGAATTGTATTTCGAAGAAATGGCACAAAGTGCCTTAGCAGTTGTTATCTTTGCATAATTCATTCTAATATCGATTAAGGATGAAGCACGTAGTGCCGAATTGCTAACTATTATAATGCACTCAAATATCGATCAAGAATGAGGAACGTAGTGCCAAATTGTCATCATTTATTTGGTAATACGTCAAAGCACAAATTTATCTTACCTTTTTCCTTATAATATTCTGCCTTGACGTATTACCAAAAGTTTGCTATATTTTTTCGATCCTAGAACTCTTTCTCGCATAGTTAGTGCCTCCCAGTATTTTGCTCTATGTTAAAAAAATTGATTCTTTTTGTATATATTTTGATAACCTTGACGTATTATTTTTTTGATAACCTTGATGTATTATTTTTTGATAGCCTTGACATATTACTTTTTTGATAACCTTGGACGTATTATTTTTTTGATAACCTTGACGTATTATTTTTTGATAGCCTTGACATATTACTTTTTTGATAACCTTGACGTATACTATGTTTTACAATTTTTAAACCATTTCTTATATAGTTGATATCTTTATACCGATAGACGTCCAAAGCATAATTTTATCTCAATCAAAAATGATGGGGAACAATCGAATACGTACTTTATATGATCCTTCCACTCACAAGTTCGTGTCCAGATGTGTGTAGCTCCTGAAATTGCATCTCAATCGAAAAATGCATAACACAAAAATGGTTATCGATTATCTAGTAAATTATATACACGTTCTTTTTCAGAATGCGACCACTTACCTTACCTTATACATCGAAAGCACTTATATGAAATTTTATCTAGCAGATATGTAAATCAGCACCTGGATCCGCCCGCGACTCAAAAACCTCTTTGATAAGTATTTGGTTGTCCATCCGGAATTACACGACACAAAAACCCCTTTATATAATCTAAGTATCGAAATATTATTTTTTTATTTGAATTTTTCTGCGTACTTATTGTAAGAGACGACAAAAACTCTTTACCTGAGATGAATAACTAGTTGAATGTGGCAATCTCTCTCCTTCAGAAATTACTACTTAATTAGATAATGTTATCTTGATATCATATATCTGCTTTGTTTTATAACAATTATGCGTATTCAATGATTGCTAAAGATTTATTTTTCAATTCTTTTTTGTGCGGAGTAGTAGGAACTTTCATTTTAGCCTCAAAATTTCGCTTGTATTCTAAGAACTCGGTCTCACTCATACTCTCGCGCTCTTTTTTCTTTTTTTCTCTCAAGTTCAAAAAAAAGTAATACTCCAAATTAGAATTAACTAAATATCCGGAATCGAGTGATGAAGTTACAAGAAGGTGATATTATATTAGCTTATCCAATCTACATATATCACTAATTCTCATTAATAACTTTTTTATATGCTTTAATAGAACCTTCTTTGAAAATAAATCAGAGAATACGAAATATAAATCAAACAAATGCATTATACTTATAATCCTTTTGAACAACCAGAATTAATTGCGCATATTATCAAAAATCTGGTATCAAAAGATCTCGCAACATGTCTTCATATCAATTTTATATGGGAAAAAAAAGTGAGACGCGAGTTCTTTATAAGGCAAAAAAAGCTTGAAAATAGATATCGGGACTTGGGGTGCAAAATAAAAAAAGCGATAAAAGATCTTGATAGTTGTTTCGAACCTAAGACTGATCCAGAGATGTTTACAATTGGACCATCGATTCGAGATACTACAGAACCCAGGACAAGATTTGATTCTCTGATTAATGAACAAGAGAAAACTTTTAGTAAACTGCAAGAATTAGAAAAATGTATGTTTAATATTGGTATTATCAATGAAATAAAATGCGAGTCATATTATTGGTATGAATAACTTTGAGATATGGTTAAAAAGGTAATATTTTTTCGTACATAAAAAATACCCAAGTTTAAATAGATAGTTTCTAATACCTCATCCACATATCCCATAGCCGATCACGTTTTTTATTGCGGAGCAGGCCGTATGACCCTTTAGGGTTGCCCTTTCGGGCCCGTGAAACAATGGCACTTGCGTGCCTAGGCGATGAATTGAAAATTCGAGACTTTGTCTCTTCTTCGAATCCTGGCTCAAAGAGCCAACCTATATTCCACGTGCGTCTCAATACCACGAACCACACAACGGCAATAATTAACAGAGCAAGTAATATATATGCTGATAGAGGTGACATCAAAGTACTTGCCACATCAGATATTGCTCCTATTTCCCCTATCGGGGTTTGAGAATTCGATTCAATCAATGAGGACATATGTGCTTTGGCACTAGCTCCGCTATTATTTTCCGGCTGTGCGAGGTAAGGAGTTATATTCGGTATTTCTATTGCAGAGTAGGCTGTTAGCCGATTCTTCGAATCCTGGCTCTTCGAGCCTTGAGATCGGGGTATAATATCCTCACTAATTTCACTAATGCTAGTTTCATTACTTACCTTGGAGTTGGCTTCGGCATCATTTTTTGATAGTTCGGTAATCTCATCATTAGTATATGACGATGTGTTACCATCGGTTTTTTCGGTTTGATCTGCAGAGCAGTGCACTCCGTGCCCCATATTTTTTTCACGTATAAAATATTTACTTAGGTTTTTATTACCGGAGGCAGTCATAGGGTGGCTAGGATCGCTAACCACAGAAATATTACTAGAGTTCGATATGGAACTTTGTTCCTCGCTTTGCGTATTTTTTATTTTGGAAACAATGGGGCAAAGCCCCTCGTCATCTCCACCAAGTACGGGGTTTGATATAGCCTCCGATTTCAGACACTCAAGTTCACTGACTTTTGAAGCTAGCTCATGTTCTACTTCAGCTATTTTAGACTTGAGGGATAATATTTCGGATTCTTTTTTCGATGAGTCGTTTTGAATAGAAATCACATCTTTCTGGGCTGAAGATAACTTACTTTCTAATATCTTAACCATAGATCTCAAGCGATCTAATTTTCTTGGATTTTATATCATTCTCAGCTTTGGACTTCACAAGAGAAATGTCCTTATTAGCATTTTCAATTTGTAAACGCTTAGCTTCATCAATGAGTTTGAGATCATGAGTACGTAATTTCTGAATCATTGTATTGGACCCACCTAGTTTTTGACTCCATTTTTTTTCTCTCCTGTTCCCAATCTCTCCGTTCACGATCAAAATTTTGCTCTTGCTTTATATACCTGTCTTGTAATTTTTTATTACGAGAATTTAACCCGGATATAACTTTCACAATACGATGTGAAGATGATCAGAACTCAAAAGCTTTGTATCCTTTATATTCTGTGCATTGGCCATATATTTTGGCTCGGTTATATGTAACAAAAAAATGATAATTGTAAATTTTAGTTTAGCTATGTTATCTCTGGCAAAAGTATCATATCATGTATACGAATTTGTTGATACCAAAACTAATTAGTACAAATGTTTATATATTTTAAAATAATCTGAAATATTTGTAAACATTTCGAAACATTTCGAAATATATGGAAATATTTATATAATATGGTAAAATTTTTTATAGTGAATATAACGTCAAGTCATATATTTATATGTACTCCGACATGGGTCGTATTCATAAAACATACTGTAGTGCAAATGCAAGATATTTATCAGATGAGGCGATCAAAGACATTAAAACATCATTCGGTAGGGTACCTGATGCCATAAATACAATGGCAAAAAAATATCGTATATCCGTTTCTCGAGCCAAAGAATATATTGAGAATAGGGAACGTAAACAGCAAATGATAGATGAATCAGAGATTCGAGGCTCTGCCTCTTCTTATCCATCTCAGGTACAAAGTACAATTTCTTCCGAAATAAAATCCATATCTCTAGACCCGAAGGGTCATTGCTTTGCAATAAATAATCAATCAGAAGATAACTATATACCTTTATTGCAGGGCAAGTCATTAGACGATTCTTCGAATCATGGCTCTCCAGTTAAAACTTCAGATAGGCAGATAAAAAAGAGGCGATCGAAACCCAAATCTATTCGAGTTACTGATTTATTTACTAATAGTGATACCCGACTTGAACAAGTATTAAATGAGGGAGAGAAACAAATAGAAGGTTCAGATCATATATTAAATAGTTACTTTGTGTCTTCCTCCAGCAATTATTAATCAGGTTTTTCTTTATTCATAGTTTCGTATTTTGATTGTAAAAGTCTGTTACGAATATTAAGCTCGGTAATAATTTTGATGGCCCTCTCACAATTCACGCATTTTTTTTTAAAGTCGAATTGTCAGAATCTGAGCTAAAACCCGCAGGAGCATGCCATTCCTCCAATAGATTATTACCACTCTCATTACTATCGACCCCCTGTGAAATTTGATCGGATACCAAAGGCTTATAACCCTTTAGGGTTGTCTCTTCGGTCCTGCAAAGCAATGGGACTCCATCCCTATCATTCTGAGATGCGGTAGCGCAATTTACTTCAAGTTTATTCGTGACTTTGTGCATGTTTATCGGAATAAAATACTCTTTACCATTACATATGAGTTTTAATTCTCGTTTCGATGCAAGCAAATCGTAATCATATTTATCTAGGAAAGTATTTGGCAAAATTAGCATGGGTTTGGGATATTTGACTACCGCAAAATCGGAATATATAGTGCAACCTCGGGCAA